ACGGAGATCTCTTTGTCCAAACAACTTCTCAGCTCATCTTCCTATTTCTAGGCAGCACGCTGTCAAGGAAAACAGAAAAATAATCCCGTAGCTTTGCCCGACAGAGCGTAAAAAATACGCTCCTGAAAACGTCAAAGTAGAAGATGCTTCGGTATATTACGGGGATAATATTCTCGATAACATCCAGACTTCGCATTTTCTCTTACACTGTTGCCACCCCGCCCAAGATTTCTTTATTTTTTTTTTTACTTTGACGAAATGTTGAACGAGAAAATTATACGAACACGTTTTCACCGGCATTTCAGAAAAATCGTTCGATTGATATTTAGATTGTGGATGATAATAATTACATTGTAGATTCTTATGCATTATGTGGGAAATTTAAAAGTGTGAAAATGTACGCTGTTTCGTATAATATTTTAATATACAAAATAACTTTCTGTCTAAATTTTATTTTTTAATATATGTTATAAATATCCGCAGTTTAATAACAATAAAACGAGCGACACCATGTCAATTTTGGAACTCTGATTAAAATTAATTTTGTGAATATATATGTTTGATATAGGAAGAAAATTTCAAAACAGGAATTTGCAGAAAATCATATTAAGAGAAAGATATAAAGATGAATTCTACAAAGGTTATACTGGTAATTTTGTCCAATCGTTCTTCAAATTTTAAATAAACAATAATGCTAGTTTATTGCGCTTTTGTAGCACTATTAAACAGTAACAATAATCTTCCAAATGTAATAATCCTCCTGTGACGAATCTGATTCTCACTTATAATAATTGATGTTTTCACTCCACAGGATAGAACATTTCAAGAAAATTTTTTTCACAGAATATAAATAGAATCTGAGAAATATGAAAAAATTAAATTAAATTAGAGAAAAGGTCCCTGAGAATTAAAATATTTATGTGGTCAATGACGATCACGGGTAATCGCCATGATGATGAACTTGTTAGACAACTTATTACGAATACTTATAATTGAAAACGTGTGCGTGAGGCGTGTTAAAATATTACTTTCAAGAACGAAAAGAGAAACGAGGCGGCGTAAGAAATAATTACTTGAAAAAGCGAATTCAGAGACAAAAGCGGCATTCGCAGAACAAATGTTGAATTCATACACTCTTTTAACCCCTGCCACTGCTCTCTGGCATGCTCATTTATCGTGGTCAGGGGAAAACCAACGCCAGAGAATCCCACTTTTGCCCCTGTCCTGCTATGAGAATCCTTTTGACGTGGCGCGGGGGGAAAAAAAACAAGCGTGCCAGAATTATTCGTAAAATCCGCAAAGAAAGACGTATCTTTTCTCTTGTTTTCGGTTGAAGGGTAAACCATTTACAAATTATGTACCCGACTGTTGATATCCACGCCGAAGAGTCCAAAGAAATATGAGAAAGAATATCACAGAGTGATTGAAATGACAAGAGATAGCCAAACGCGGTGAGAAGGGAATTGCAATTTCGGTGAAAATAATACGACGTTCAAAAAGTGAATGATAGATAAAGATGTAACTCACGGATCTCCCTCCATTCGAGTACTAGCGAGTTTACTCTGCCTCTAATTCCCGACCTTCCTTCCCTTAAGGATTCTTCGTTACTTCCCACTTGGCGTTAACAGCGATGTAGTGCGTAAAATGCTATATCCAACCCATTTCACGCGAGTCTCTGTGCGATTTGTCTGTACAAATAGGAAAACCTCGAGGAGAACATTTATACTCTGTTATATCGATCTGCACGGCGCAGACTGACCTGTCTAATCATTCATTTAAAATCTGCATTTGACGAATTTCAACGTCATTGAGTTTTACTACTGTCAGTTAACAACCACATTAGGAAACAGAATATTTCCTGCATTCGATATCGAAGACTTATTGATCATTATCAATAATTGGAATATTTGTTTAATTTCCTTATCACTTTATGTTACTATAAACGTAAGTTTGTTTTTCTTTAAATTTCATCTACTTCATTAAAAAAAAATAATAATAATAAGAATTATTGAAGAAATAATAATAATAAGAATTATTGAATTCACATCAAATTAAATCTAGAAATTGTTTTTAGAAATTAAGAAATTACGTGTTATTAAAATTTTATCTTTATTAAAATAGTGAGTTAAGTTAAACAATCGATGACAGATGTGGTAGCAAGTCAAGCCACCAATACTGCAATTTTCAACGGACTGGTATAAACCAGTGGGTTAACAAATTTCTGTAAAACAATATATCAACAGTCTATAATTTTTCGATGACGTTTTCTCAAGAACAAATCAATGAACATCGTCACACAACCGACGAACTATCTGGGATTTTCGTTAGATTGTTGAAACGGACTGCGGAGACAAAGGTCGCGGAGGCGTGCTGCTTAAAATTTCAAAACGAATTCTCATACACACGGTTAAAGCAAATACGAATTTTCACCCCGGTGGAAATTCAATTCGCCGAATATCTATAAATTACGATCGCGCGAACGACCGAAAGTTTTCTATCTCTTCCCGTTCCGGTTGCCCTTTATTTCTCCGCTCCTTGTATCCACGAGGCTGTGTTAACATCGAAACCCTTTCCGTCGACCGGCGCTCTTTAAACGCGTCTCGAGAACCTCCGGTTCGCCCTGACGATTGCACGAAGAAAGCGCGCCTCTTTGCCACCTGGAGAATGCATTGTGCATTACCGAACGAGCCTTGGCTCGTCCTTGCACGAAACGGAAACGTCAATGGGGACCGACCGTTTGGGGAAGCGAAAAATTCCTATGGCCCTGGCGAACGATTCGAGTGCACTCCGAACAGATCAAAGCCCTCGCCCCGTGACTTTTCTCGGCTGGCAGAAATAAAAGGCTCGATATACGAGATTCGAGAGTCGGATCCGAGTGTAGAGAGAGACCGGGCGTGAAAAGAGGGCGCAAGTCGTCTGCGTAAGAAACGATCTCGTACGATCACGTCTCGAGATCCTATCTCAGGGGGAATTGGTTATGCATCGTACAAAATAGCTAATTCTATTATACCTCGAATTATTTGTCAAATCGTTGCGCTATGGAACTACTTAATAATGATTTAATATTTACCATCTTCATTTACATCATAATATGATTGTAATGTCATCATTATCATCATCATAATCAACAG